CCTACAACTACTCTCTCATCAGACCATGCTGTTAATTATATTTACCAAATAGAAAAATCAAGCTCCTACCAAGCTGGGAGGAAGGGGATACAGTAAGCTGCAGAACAATGGAACTTCTCATGTTCCTAGCATTTGGCAGTTTCCCACTTAAGTCATTGTCGTTTTAACCACAAGTTGTACTTAAAATTAGTTAAGCTTGAGTTTAATCTCTTCTTGCTTCACTTGTCCAAACATACATTTCTGTAACAGGATTATTTGTGCAGCTTCTATATTTACTCATGCTACGTAGTAGTAAATATAATTTCTTCTGTAAACCTCTTGTTGGAACTTTTCTTTTTGTAATAGAATGATCACTGGGGGAGAACTGGTTTGCTGTCATGTCATTAACCCCGTTGACAGCTACTACCTTGAATTTGGAAGGAGGGCAAGAGACAAACAACTGAAACCTTAAGTGGAGACCAAACATAAAATATCAGTCCCAAAAATATTAACCAAAGGCAAAAGAAGGAACCAAGTCAGAAATTGCTTTAAAACCTGATGGATTTAAGGAGCGTACCTGAAAAAAAAATAAGCCACTGCCTCTAGTTCTAAGTGGTTTCTTTGACTGGTGTTGTGCTAAACACTCTGAAAAGTGGAAAGACATTTATAATTAAAAATACATAGCCATAGAGACAACATTTTTACACTCTTTTAATTTTTTTTCAGTAGTCAGACTAGACTAGTATCTACTATCATGCTTATATATTTTCCTCTTAGGGTGGATATGAATGAAAATGGAGGAAAAAACAGCAAAACTGTACAAGGTGCTTAAAGTTATGGCATAGGGTAAGTGCAACATGGTGAGGCTTTTCAAAAGGGAATCATAGGGTGCCATATCCTAGGCACCTAAATTAATAAGTGATTCTCTCTTAGTGCTTAAGCTATTGAAAGTCATTGAAACCTCGTTGCTGATTGGAAGGGTCTTGTGCTTGCCTGCACTCAGAGCTGCTGTCAATCTAAAGTTTGATCTGAGAAGACCAGATTGCTTTAGCAAGTGTTGTCTCTTCTGTATTGTTGTTGTGATCTGGTTTGTCCTGTCCTAAAGTCGTAAGCCTTTAAGAGCAAGGGATTCCCAATTCTGGGAGTTACTCTGCAGCAGCACTTTACAGGATCATATCTATTGAATTGCCATTACTGCAGACTATTAGACAATAGGGAAGATTAAATTAATATTCTCTTTTGTGTTTACTGTTGCAAATTGGAGGGGCATATTCTTTGGCAAATGGCATATCAATCATGTCAGCATATCAATCATGTCAAGCATTCTTTGCTTCTTTTTTGGAAAGTGGGAAATAATATTGATCTTAAAACATTTAAAGTTCATCAGTACTTGTCCTTTGGTGGCATCTACTGAGCTTAGTCAGGGACCAGCACCATAAAACACTCACTAGCATAGACCTTGTTCGCAAAGGCAGGCCAGAACCCTTCTGTAGACCTTCATTAGTTTCCCGCCTCATGCAACTTCAATTCATGTAGTGCATCAGTTGTAGAAACAACAGACCAAAAGTGTGCAGGGAGCATCCTTTCATGTAGGATATTGTATAGTATGCTGATAAAAATCTTGAGACACCTGTTGTCTGTCGTAACCTCACCAAATCACAATGGAAAATTGCTTGCTCAGAGAGAGGGAGACTCTTAATGGGAGTGCCAGACTCCTGAACGGAAAAGCAATGAGGGAGGAAGGGAAGAATGTTTGACCTTGGTTTTGAAAGTGGATATCCAAATTGTCACTCTGCTGCTGCTCAGAAGCCTCTTTCAGTTTCTTTTGTCATAGCTGCTTTACCCTTCCCAAGTTCACTGAAATGAACAGTGTTGTCTCATTCTGGTGTTGCTTTTTATCCTGGTACAATGTCATTAAAACAGCATAGACATTCATGTTAAACTAGCATGTGATCATAATTTCAAGGTTTATGTAAGAATCTTGGTGCTATGCTTCTTTCCGTAACTGCGACACGGTCCTGTGTGGGCTGTCTTGTATTTGGCGTACATGTTAAGAGGGACTTTAGTGTCACAAGCTGCCAGGCAAGAAGACAGTTTTGTAGATCATCTTTTGCAGTACTGAGGGAAAGAAGGGTAAAACCATGATAACATACAGTCACAGTTTCAATTTTCATTTTGTTAAAAGTTTGGCTTGCAGCTGAGCTGTTACTATAAGAAGCTGCTTTTGCGTCTGCATTCTGTGGTCATTTCCACAGGAATCAGCTAAAACATAAATCAGAATGAAAGATGCCAGAGGAGTATTTGGTGAAAGACAAGCAGGGATCACTTGCTTTGATTTGATTCTCAGTGGCTGGCCGGTCCCTTTCAGTTCATAGTGTACGTGTTTCTATTTTCTTGGACTTGCTACTGTTGGACTAAAATAAAGAAAACCTCTTCTGGAAAATGTAACTGACCTATGGTCCATGGCTTCAGCTTCTTGGAAGTCTTTGAGCATTCCTGTTCTAGTGATGTTCCTGATACTTTCCAGAACTTACCTTTAGGACTGGTCTCTTGTCTAACACAAGTCAAGTTGGAAGACTAACCTCTTCAATACTCTGCTCTCCATTTCTGGCTTCAAAGACTGCCTCTTGCCACACAGCAGAACTGATAAGGAATCTCCAGAATCACTGTAGTTGCTGAATTCTGAGTTATCAGCTGTGAAAATAAACAGTCTTGTGAATTGCCTTTCATCTGCTTCAGAAAGGTATGAATGGCTTCAAAAATACAGAGCAGCTTACAGCTGTAGAAAGATATCATTGCATTAGTTTGGGTGAAGCTTTTCTCCCCATCCCTGGCCACCCAGTCCAAAGATGTGTGACTTTTTAACTTTGTAGCAGTATCTTGTCTCTCGTGCCCGAGAAGCACAGTCATGTTGATTTTTCAATAAAAAGTATGAGCTTCTGGCAGTCTTGGCAGTAATAAGTCAGTTTATGGTTAGTGCACACATTGGTATAATTGGGGGCTTTCCAGAGACTCCCACATTAGAAACATGTAAAGAAATTATTGGCTAGTGAGGACAAAACTTTTCAATAGTTAGCATGATACAAATATTAAATAATAACCATGATAAATAATATCCTTGTACTTCCTATTCCTGTTTGTTTCTAATTCCCTTTCCAAGAGGTTGCAGCTGTCATATTCCTTTTTCATTTGGATGAACCCAACTGGTTATGCATCTCCTATAGACATGACTACTGCTCAGATTTTGATGTCATATCAGGGAGTTTCAAGCTGTATTGAGATGCCACTTGCTGTTTAGCTGCTGGTCTCTTTTAATGATGCTTAATACTGATATGAGACATTTCCTTTTCCTTTTTGTGTGTCAGTTTTAGCCCAGTTGTATTCATCACACACTTGGTAAGTGCCCTGCTTCTGGTTATGCTATGCCTGTTGGAGTTTCTGCTCTGTCTGGAGTTCAGAGCAGCTTTACAGAGACCCACCTCTTTGCCAGCAGTCAGGTTAGATACTCAATTTGGAAATCTTTTTTTCAATGACCAAATATTTTTCCTCTCTTCTAAAGTAAGTTCCAAGTCAGTCTTTCACGTAAGGTCAGAAAGTGCATTTGAATTCTTATCGATAGGTTTTTCTGGACGAACAGGCACTACTGTCCAGGAAACTCAGTACTTTGTGTAACTGAAAAAGTTTAACTATCTCATTGTTAATTGTTTAATTATTTAGGGCTTACAGCTTGTTGGAGGAACTGAGAAAAGAGAGAAGGATTAGTCTGTTGCAGTAAATTTTAGCAAATTTTGTCAATTGTTGCACATAGGGACCACTGTAAGTGCAGGTGTGGAAACACTACTGAAAGTTCTTCCAGTGCCTTTATCATTTACATGGTTGTGGTGCATTGTGTTCAATGTATTCTCCAGAAATTTAGAAAAGTGTTCTCTCCTTTATTGCACCATGGTACTTAAATTACACTGGAGTATTGTCACAACATGTTTTGCTGGAAAAGTGGATCCACCTTCAATATATATAGGTCTTAAGTGAGGTGCTGATGAATTAAAAAGTCCAGTAAGTCTTCACTCACCAGTATGTCTAGAAGCTTTATGATGATATAGCAAGGCAGCTAAGTCTGCAGAGGATACTTGAATGTCTTACCTGTTCTTAACAGAAGTTCCTCAGCTTGGTAAAAAGCAACTTTCTGTGGCTTGACTTACTTGATCTCAGGACGCTTTCTTTGTGTATTGTAAAAATCGGTTGCAGATCCCTGATCAAACAGAGCCCTGAAAAATAAAACCACAGAATGTTAAGATAGCAATATTTAATATACTTACTGCATGGGATCATGCCCAGTTTGCTAGTACACAGTGCTGGTTTACCTTGGGTGAGCAGAACCCCTGTAATTTTAGGGCTCATCGTTTCAGTATGCCTTTTATTTGTTTTGGATTTTATTAGTTTCCATTGAGTCACCTTCTGCAGTGTTAAGATGAAGTTCTAGGAGTTGGATTTTTACCTTGGCTACAGTAAAACCCAGGTTTTCATCTGGGTCTGTCTTTCTTAAGACTTACCCATAGAGTCTGGTTTGACCTCAGGGCCTTGCTGACTGAGCAGTTCCATTCCCTACCCTAAGCCTCAGTCATTTGAGAGCAGCTGATACTGCACTGTACTGAAGTGGTGTCAAGAGCCAGTCTAAATTCCACCTGTGTCTTTAGTTGCAGAATGGCTGCGGTTATTGCCTTTCCTGGGCATGCTGGCCTTGCTCGGTTACCTTGCTATTCGCCCGTTCCTCCCCAAGAAGAAACAGCAGAAGGATAGCTTGATTAACATGAAGATCCAGAAGGAAAATCCAAAAGTAGTGAATGAAATAAACATTGAAGATCTGTGCCTCACTAAAGCTTACTGCCGGTGTTGGCGTTCTAAGACGGTAAGACACTTTGTGCTACTGTAGCATTAGAGATTGAAACTTGGATATTTTTATCAGTGCTTCAGTGGTGAATTGCTACACGTAGACCTGTGCTTTTCTCTGGAGTTTTGAGAATGGCACAGTTCTTATTTTTTCTCCACTGTAAACCTATCTACATGCAGACAGAAACTGTAGAAACTTGTGAGAAACACAGTAGGGTTTTTCTAGAAATGCTTACACAGTAACCACCTGTAAGTAGATTGAAACCAAACAACCCTTATTTAATGTCTGGAAATACATTGCAACTAATAGGAAGATAACTGTTTTGCAAAAGCAATGCTTAGAAAGTCACTCATAGTAGAATGAAAGGTAGGCTGGGCCTGTATTGGTGCAGGAGAATATAATGTCATCTGGTCCAGAGAAGCCAGTAGTTGACTGGTTGGGGTAGTCCATATCCCCCAAATCAACTAGATGTACATGAACATTTTTCATCTAGCCTCAACTTCTTTTCACTGTGCTGACTGAACCCTGTTTTTGTCCTCTCTGGACTGAATGCTTTCTTGTTTTAACAAAAAAATCTGCCCTGGACCTAAGAAACTCTCTCAACTAGTCTTGCTTCAGACTAACCACTTCAGCAAAATACTTCAGCTTTCCTTAAACCAGTACTTACTGTTTGCAAACGATTAATCTATAAAGAGCACTTGTACTAGTTCCACAATAAACCTTAAACCATTTGTGACTGATGGCTGCTTTGCTTGCTGTCCTTTCATGCAAAAAGGCTTTGTCTCTAACTTTGTGTCTATGAACAGCTATTTTAGGACCTCACAAACTTAGCTACCTGTTAGCAGTGTAATGTGTGCTGTGTTTTAGGAGACAGGGAATTTGATACTGAAACAGGATGTAGTAGTAGGAACTAGTGACATTATCAAAGTGCTCTTGGCATAGGAAGAAGTATAAAAATCCCCATGTAATTGTTGTACAGAGTTATACTAATTTCTCATGTATGTTTTCTTCCAGTTCCCTGTCTGTGATGGCTCCCACAACAAGCACAATGAATTAACAGGAGATAATGTAGGTCCACTAATACTCAAGAAGAAAGAAGTATAGCAGATGCTTAATCCACTAGATCATGACTGATTAAAAAGTCTTTTTATACCATTGTAGTTTCAAGGGACAGCATTTTATTATGTGATTGGTATGATTTAGTCTAATGATTGCTGTAGATTTCTTTTTGGAATAAACTGCATTTAGACAGTGCTAAGTCACTGGTTTGATACTTTATTCTGAGAAGAATTTTGTCTACTTTGTAAAACTGTAAAGTAACTATCCCTGTAAATAAGTCATTTATTTCAACAATAAAATTACTTCCTATAGTTAAGCCTTTTTTGTATGAATATGTAATTCTAAACCTGCTGCTATTTCCGAATTCTGCTGAGAAACCACAGTTTATTCTGCTATTTGGGAACAGATTTAAACGAACTTAAGTTCGGGAGGGAAAAAGGTATTAAATTCCTCCCTCATGAATAGGTATTCAGACAGCCAACATAGCACTGTTAATTTATGCTAGGTGAAGGTCTGGCCTGTGCAGTGCCAAAGTGGGCAGTTTGTTGATCTCACTCAAAGCAGCCTACCTCAGACAAACACACACCTTACCCCCAGCTGGTAAGTCTCATACAATGTCCCAAGTGGAGTGCTGCAGTTTATATGGTCTGGAGACCATATGAACTGATGTACTGAGCAGGTCACCCACTGCTGTTATCCCTTTATTTTGGGCAGCCATGTTGCTCCTTCATGAGCTACTGTAAGGAAATACAAATTTCCTTCTTGCAAGTTCACTTGCACTGTAGCCGCTACTTTTTGTAGCGGGGAATTTCATGGGAGGAATTGGTTAAATGACAACTAAGAAAGCAGAGCTGAGCTGTATTCTTGTTACCTATTCAAAAAGATTATTTGGCAGGTCAGAACTTTGCTGTGGTATGACTTAATTTCAGATGCAGGTAAATAATTGCTAGTTACCTACCTGCTAGATTAATTCTTCTAAAGTGCTTTATTTGCCAGTGAAGGACTGTATCCATCAGTTTAAAAATAAAAATTTGGTCCATGCTACAATTTTAGTCAATTGTACTAAGGCACATTTCAGCTGTTCCTTAACAGCATGTCATTTGAACTGTTGTTAGGCAGGTGGGAAGCCCCAGAGTGGTGTGCCATTGCCAAAGCTGATCACCACAGTGCTGAAACAAAGCAAGTCAGGAAGCACTTGTCACATAATGGCTCACACAGCAGCAGTAGAAGTAAGGTAAATCATTCCTCCTGCATTTGTAATAGCTGTAGTTCTAGGTACCTAAAACTCTTGCCTTGCAGGCCAGGATGTGATTGATTGATTAAGTGCCTGCTTTTGCAAAGCACGTAATAGAATTGTGGTACAATCTTTAAATTCTTGGTGGTCTTGCTTAATGGATGAGCAAACCATAAACTTTGTATTAGGATATAACATTTATAAATAAGGAAAATCTGTAATGTTGCAAGTGTCTTTCTTACATTCAGTCTTCACTTACAGATTCAGTATATTGAACACTAAGTCCCAATTCTTGGGTTTAAAGAAGAAATTACTGTAAAAAGCAAAATCCTAGGTTTAGATGTTTTGTTTTGGTCTTGTTTTGTTTTTTTCCAGGCTTTAAAATCCACTGCTTATTATAGCAAGTCTGTATGTGCTTCCAGCTTTTATCAGGGTACTTTTGCATCCAAATAGTTTGATTTCTTCCAAAGCCTGAGAAGTAAACTATGTACATCAATCTTGTTCTCGCTTCTGTTGCTCTACTCAGACAAACCCTGTTAGAGTAAGTGATACTGCAGGATTTGTTTTGTTTCTCCCACAAAGCTCCTCTAAAAGGTGAATGACAGTGTAAGGTTTAACCTCTTGACTCCATCTCTAGCACGGTTTGATAATGTAATTAACTTTTTCTCCTTGCTTGCTGTTAAATGAGATTGCTGCTAAACTATCTACAGCTGTGGCTATGGAACAAGCAGGGGTGTTTGATTTTGCTTGTGTCTGGAGGGGAATGGAGCACATTTGTAGTGTTGCAATAGCAGCACTTGGTCGCAATTCCTTTGTAGAAAAGACATTTTAGTAATTTCCACAAGATAATAAAGTGAAGGTCGCAAGCGATATAAATGACCATTTCCTTGCATTTCAAAATCTGTCAAGGAAATACTGCATGCCATGGCCACAGAATTTTCTGTAGTAAATTTATAGTTTCAAATCATCTACCTGAAGGATAGATAGCTAAGAACTGAAGTGTGTGCAGAGCCTCCTATCTCACCAGCAATTGAGAGCTGAACCAGTTACCAGCTGGGATGTGCTTGGTCATGTCTTGCCACTGGATATCTTTTCTAATCTCATTTGAAAGCTCCACACAAAGGGATGAATTTTCCCTGAATGCTAATAAAGGCCAGCCCTGAGGCAGCAGACCTGGTCTTGATGCACAGTCAGGGGAAGCTGAACTTGGCATGTCATGACATGCCTTTTTACAAGAACAGTGATGTTTCCCTTTCTTTTGATGATGAATTTGAACAGTACTTATAATAGACTACAAATAAAGTCGTACACCAAAAACATTTAGGGAAAGCTGTCTGACTTGTGGCAACTACTAGATGAAATAAATATACTCGAAGGGTGGCTGGCACAAAATTTCAACTCTTGCACTCCATTTATTTAAAAACCAAAATGCAGATACCTATCATTCATTGTTTTGTTGCACCATGTTTCACAGTTAATTTTAGATTTCAGTCTAAATTCCCTAAACCACTCAGTTTGGCTGAAAAAGAGAAATTAGTGATGATAATTGCATTATCACTGCATCCTCCGGCTTGTGAGACTCCCTGCTTGCAGATGGCCAATTTCTGTCTTATCCCATATGCTGTGTGGTGTAACTGCCTGCTGCTGGCCGCCAGGAGTGCATTGTGCCTTCAGACCCTTCTGCTGCAGAGGTTGTGGTGAACCTTCTGGAACTGCACACACCCTGTGCTCAGTGCTTTCCCAATTATGTCAGTGATTATATGACTGCGTGAGAGTGGGACTTCTCTGGTTATAGTTTATTGCACATTATGCTCTGATTTTATTTCCTGCAAATAAGAGACTGGCATGGCATAAAGATTTTACTGCCTTGAATTCATGCATTATTCATGAATTGTTTTGTGGTATTTTGTTAAAAGGGAAGTGGTCTTAAATGTCATGACTTCACCCACACAACGTCTGATAGCAAGTGAAATGGTATGTCTCTAAGAGAACTGCTGTTTAGAATCAGCTGAAATTGTCATCATAGTTCTTTAAAAAAAACCCTTCTCAGGATCATTTCTTTTCATGACAAGATGCAGGTGTTTTATTCCTTTTTGGAAGGAGAGGAGCGTTATGAAGCATTAATGTTTTTCATTTTAGATCTGCAGGTCTGGGTAACAGCTTCAACCTGATTCTTTTTGAAGATTTAATAAAAGCTGGGGGAAAGAAGTCTTGTGAGAAACATCCATGCACAGTGGCAAGGCAAGGAAAATTGATTTAATTTTGTTTAGATTAGAGCTTATCATGAGGTTTTTCATTGGTATAGCTATTCAAGCACGCAGAATGGTGGGACTGATCTAATGAATAAATTGAGAATGCAGTGAGGTGAAGGAAGCATGATAAATCCAGTTTATGAGGTGCTGTTATGATGGTGAGCAAGTATGAGAGGCTATCATCTGTTTGTCAGAGGCTTGCTTGCATGCTAAAGGTGTGTTAAATTTAAAGGCTGTAATCCTTGCACGTCACACTCCTGCTATTGAACAGACTCCAGATTTGGCAGAGTGATCCCTCCCTGCAGGAAGAGTCTACTTTTTATAAAACTTTATGGAAAAGTGAACTATATAAAGCTTCTACTCCTGTAAATTCTACTCAAGTAAAATTATTTTATAGACCATCACTGATGAACCGAACACCATATTCCCTTATCTTATCAGTTAGGTTTACAGACATTATGATTTCCGAATAAAATAAACTATCCCTATTTAAGTAACAGAGTGCCTCTGTTAGGCATGCGAAGTAGGCAGAACAGACATATAAGTCAGTGACTGATGCAATAACCACCCAGCACAGGACCCTAACCATTCATCAGTGTGCAGTTTGAAAGCATCTTCTTTTCTGGTCAGGGAGACAAACATGAACTGAACTGAAGATTGTACATTCCCCAGGGAAGCAGAGAACAGCAGCATATATGGTGGAAAAATGTCAATGTTCTTGTCAACTGTTTGGGGAGAACTTAACAAAGAATTTCCTGGTATTTTCATCACTGTGCTGGAATTTCAGGCTATGAACCTTAAATATTTCTCAGGAAGCTTTCTTTTTGGCTTGGAGGGGAAGGCATATACCAAGACTCACTTACTGAGGTGTAATTAATCTGAACACAGAGGCATACATGGACAGTCTGCAAATAATACAATTTCGTGTAGTTTTCTTTTAAAAGTATTTTTGTACATTTTTGTGCTGCATATTAAAATTGTAAAAGCTAAACCAGAATTGATTCATTCTTTCTTAATAATGCCAAAATGATCTGGACACATCAAATCTATTCTGTACAGTATCCTGTAAAATGAGGTCAGGTCAGTTCTGGCTGTAGTGCAGATATCTGCAGGGAGGCACCTTGAATACAGGCACAGTCTAACATCCTTACTAAAAAACCCCAAAGGGTTGGAACTAGATGATCTTTAAGGCCCCTTCAAACACACACCATTCTATGAGTCTGTGAAAACTTGCAGTTTCTGAGTGATGCTGTACTGATTCCATGCCTGAGAATGGAGGTGGGAATGACCTACTTGGAGCTAGTTCCTTGCACAAGACGTCATAGCAGAATGAGAAAGGTCTGCTGGTACCCATCAGTACAAAACCCTAACCAATACAAAAGGTAAAGGTATGGGCAGGATTTCAATCAACACAGGAGGTTTACTTCTGGCTTTAGGACAGTCAAGGAGAAAAGAAATTATTCTGAGAATGGGAAAATCAGATGTGTACTACATTGCAGCTGACTGTGCAGGAGGCATCTATATTAAATACACTGAAGAATACCACATTGGAGCTTTTTGCTCCCCCTGGTGAAATGTTTTGGCAAGATAGATACTTAACACGGGTGTTGCCCGTCATTACTATGATTCACAGCCTCACAGAGCAACTTGTGTTTCTGGAAAGACCCATAGGATCTGGGGGTACGTGCTGAGGGTGCTGGCACTGTGGTGTTAATGCAGCTTCCTCATGACACCTGCCTTCACACAGCAGCCTTTCTGAAGGTAGGTGAGAGTGAAGCTCCTTTCACTTTGTACCATCCCTCTCAACACTGCATTTTTAAGGCCATTCATTTAAAGTACAGTAGTTTTCTGCATCAGTCAGAGGTAAAAAATACCCTGGGAAATCTTAGAGGCCTCCACTCTCCACAATCAATCCAGCAAACCACCTCTTGGAAAAATAAGCACCACTGGCTTTATTTTTAACAAATCCTAGTTTTCTTTGCTGTAATTGTCGAAAAGCAGATGTGAGAGGGACCAGATCATGGCATTTCTCAGCCAGGTAAGTATTCATTTAGGAAAAAGCAATAGGAGATCCCAGCTGACCTAGGAATCTTGATTTAACGTTTGCTGCTGTTACCAAGTTCCCCAGACCCCAGAAGGAACTGAGGAAGAAAGGGACAACTCATTGTGACCTTGGCCTTGCCCTGTCAGCTAACCCCACCTGAGAGGAACACTTCCCTGTGTCCTGCAGTGGCCAGTACCAGAACATAGCCACTCTCAGTGGCCGAAGAGCTGGCTTTCCCTCCCTTGACATCATGTGTGACAACTCAGGTACACAGGTGAAGAAGCAGCCATCTCAACCCCATGCAACCCTCTCACATTCCTTATAGCCTCCCCACAACCCTCATACCATTTTCAAGCTCAAGTCCTGTTTTCTACTAGCACCAGCAACACCTCCATTACAACTGTCCGTGACAGATTCAACTGTCTCTCTCGGCACGTAAGTACCACTTACTGTTTCTTGCTATGACCAGAGCTGACAGTCCTTTGAAGGCACAAAGCAGTGCATGAGCTGAGGAAAAGGCAAGTTTTGGAACCTGAAAAGGAGAGGGAATCACCAACCCATGCCAGGACTCGTTCACTGTATGCCAGCAGTCTCTCATTCAGAGGTTGCAGTTGAACTCGTACAGTTCAACTTGTCTTTCAGCAGTTGAACTTGAGCAGTTGAGCTTGTCATCTCACAGCCCAGTTTCAACCATCAAGAAGTTATTCACATTAGTCTCCATTTTCTCCTGTTTATATTCCACCTTATAACTCCAACTCCATGCCTGAACAATTCTGATCCTCTCCCTGGCCTCACACCCACACGTTTCAAGTAACTGTTGACTAACTTCCCAGTGACTCACTGCCTGGCCAGCCTGTTCTCTGTATGTTCAGCTATTTTATCTCTTAAGGCACATTCAACACATAAAAATGTTTCATAAAACTCTGCCAGGACTGCTTTCAAAATAGCAGACACAACTGATACTTGTTTTGGTTTCTTCCAGAAATATTACAGACATCCTGCGTTTACTCAACAGAAGTGTAAGGACTGAAGGATTGTAGATGTCCATCTTACGAAGGTTCACAGGCCTCTGCTTCTTCTCCAGCTTCAGCACCTTCCTCATCCTCCTTGCTACTTGTCTGAGCCTTTTGCAAAAGTCTGGGCCCTGCCAAACCAATAACCAGGGCTCCAATTGGAGCAGTGATCAAGATAGCCAAGAAAGCTACTGTCAGTACATCCATTCCATACTTTTCCAGTTGCTCATTCTGATGAATTCTCGCTGTATCCAAGGCAAGAGAACCTATTGCAGCCTGTAGGAAAGAAGACATCGCTGAAATGGAGCAAGTAACCTTTAGGACTGAAAGAGGTAAAAAAGGAGATTAATTATCAGTCAATATTTAACATATATTTGATATTTGTAGTACATTCAATCCATTCATTTCTAGACAGTAAATAGAAAAGTAAATGTTATACCTGAGAACAATTTTTACTTGGCTACACTTTTCTAAGCTAATGAGTTTATCTGGATGGTTCTCTCCCATGAAGAACATTGTTTAGCTGTTCTCTTACCTACATTTCTGGAGGATGTGTGATTAATGAAATGGGCCAGTGTATTCTGTATTGCAGCTGTTAAAATACCACAGAATGCATCCTGGCAACAGTCAGCTAGTAGCAGCTTCTGAAAGTATAGTTTGCAAATGTTGCAATAATCCTTGCCTGTTTGGAATATTAACTTTTGTCTGCAGTTAATCATGCTATTTAGGTGAAGCATAAATAACAATCACTGAAGTAAAGAAGGAATGCAGCCAGCCTGAGGCTTCTCTAGCCATATGGCTCAGACTACCCTTGACTGACTTACCTAAATGACCACAAACTGAAAACCCATTCTAAGCCTCTGATGTAGCTGTTCCTGCAGATACTTCATGTATAAGAGGGAAACACTTCTGTTTTGAAAGTTCTCAGAATCTGTATGTAAAGGCACAGTAATGTGCAATAGCTGAGAAATAGTTATATTTCCTATATGTACAATTCACTGTCATTTATTGGGAGTACAACCCAGAATGCAAGCAAAAAACCTTCACGTAGAAGGCTCTCCATGCACTTTTCAAGCAGACTTAAGGTGGTTTAGAATATGAACTGTCCCTGTCTACACTCTGCTATTATTGAGCCTGATCCTCTCTCTATTTACTACTGCACTAGTTATGAGGAGCTTTGCTAAGGACAACAGATTTAGCCTGGAATGAAAATGATGTTGAACTGTTTACCTGAACAGTGGCCTTGGGAATCCATGCCAATGAGATAAATGCTTTCTCCTTGAAATTAAACCCAGCAAAACACACCATCAGGAACGTTGCTATGATTCGCACAACAAGGGCAATGCCCAGTGTAGCAACACAGAGTCCTGCAACAAAGACAAACACTTCTCAGTACTTTTGTGCATAGGTGCCTGAGGGGAATAAGGCTCCTAAAACTGCTTTAAAGTGGGAGTAGTTTTCATTTTTGGAGGTTTTTGTGGGTCAGCCATGATCTGCTTGGCTTTAGATTTCTTTATAGATGTTCTTTGGAAGCCAGGAATGAAAGCTGGATAATTAGTAGATGATCTTACCAACAGTTTCAAGCCTAAGAGATGTAACAGATACTTCTGCACCAATTAAACCAAAAAGAAAAGGTTGAAAGATATTCCACGCAATGGCAACAATTTTTTCAACTTCTTTCTGCAATGAAAACAAAAATAATACATAAAAATGCAGCTAAGTAGACAGAAGATTTAATTAATCAAAGTGAAAATGTATCATAAAGATTGTCCAGAATTGCTCCTTCTTTGAGCTAAAAGATTCAAAATCTGTTCTGTACCTTTTGAAGGTCAGAGTGTGTAGTTCTGCCAGTAAATAAATGCTTATTATCTCAAGAAGAGAAATAAAAGTCACTGATATTTGAAGAGTGACAGAGCAGTTTGCAGACAAGAGGAGGAAAATAAAAGCACAGATGGTTTCAGTATTCAGGGAGGTGGAATTTGAACAGCTTTGCCATGAAGTTTCCGAGCCTTTGGGAACTGTGTGCTTAAATGTGTTCTTCCAGTTGTATCTGGGCACACTCAGACCCTCTGAAGTTTCAGTCAAGACCTAACTCTGCTTGTGCTGCACTCAGAGGCCTGCCTCCATGTGAGCAGGAGCAGGAGTTCGACTGAGCAAGTCTGAAATTCCATACTAGTAAAAAGAGTTGAACTCTCCAGTGCAATGTACCTTATAAAGGCCGTACTGTCTTTTCTCCTTGCATTTGAATTTTACATCTAACCATTTTCCTAAAACTGCTGCCAGGATAAACAGGAATCTTCCTGCTTTTCAGCCAACAAAATGGTAGATGACTGTAACACAAGAACTTCTGTAACCTTAGAGAGAACAAGGTGGAAACGTACAGACTGCTAAATATTTTTCTTTATTTGCCTCATTTCTCCTTGTTATCTCACCCTTTTTTAAAAAATAAAAAACCAAACCCAAAACAAAAAAACAAACCCAAAACCTCTTTACAGATGTTGGCATCCTTTCAGTCTTTTTACTGTCCACTTAACTGTTCCACCAATAGGTACTATGTTCCTTGTTCTCCATGGATAGTATTTGCCAAGTGACTTCCACCAGGGATGATGGAAGGAGGAGGATGTAGGACAAA